CATGAAAATCCCTGTTTCATTTTTCACAAGAACGTGAATCATTAGTGACAGGAAATTAGTTAGCTACAGAAATGAAGCCATACCATATAGTGGGGTATGAGAGAAGCACCATATTTTGTCTGGAATACCCTTTCCAAAGCAGCAATCAACGTACTTTCTAGACCAGGTACATCGGCTTTGGTTTGTAAAGCACTGCCATAGAGAAAGATAATCAACTAAAAAAGAGCTATAAGTTTCATGAACAATTTCGGTGACAGCTTCCATCATACAACAGTTACATACTTACACACACACACACACACACAAAACAAAACAAAACAACAAATGCACACTTGTTCATGTACCCAGAAACAAAACCTGAAATGAAAATGCAAAAAGATTGAAATCCAAAGAAATAGAGCACAAAAACTTGGAGAATAAGTTAAGGGCAAAACCCAAAAAGGTTACTTAAGAATGACAGGAAGGGGGAAGCGATCCAGAAAGTCCTTAACTGAAGCGTCGTTCTGAAGACCTGCAAATACAATGATATTCAGTTCAAAAGGTTGACAAAAATTGCAATACAAAGCGATTGTAAATGGTTACCACTAACCAGGGTAATTTGCGAAATCTGAAGCAGCTTGTAGTAGCTGAGTTGGGTCGTCCACCGAGAACTCCTCCATAGCTTAAAGCACAAGCAGTCGCAGTGAAACACACTCTGCGTCTCTGAGAAAGAGAGAAAGAAAAGAGAAAGAGGCGCACCGACCGTGGCAAGCAATGGACTTTCATGGAACCTGAAATTTACACGTGTTCTACCGACCTATGGATTGGGCCAAATTAATAGCCCTTGGGCCCAAATGTATTCGTCTAATAATAGAGTGTTGGGCTTTTATATATATATATATATATATATATATAATTCTGCTAGAGCATGTTTTTATTCTTCAATCTTCATCGTTTGAGAAACAACGATAATCATTTATTTTCGTTTTTGATAACTTCATTTTACTAACACTACTAGAAAATTGCTCTAAAGGAAAATTTCAAAGAGCACAGAAGAAGGGTCCGTGCCTTTTTCAATATCATTAGCACACAAAAGTATTTGAACGTGTCTTTTACACAATATACATAGTAAATGTGTGTCCATTTTAAATTTATTTGAATTTGTTTGTGTCCATTAAATTTGGGCATGAGCTTGTGTCGAATACTAATATTCGAATACTAATATCAGCTTACAATTTGTCACCTCAGTGTCAGTTAGAATAATTATTATTGTTTTAAAATATGATTAATTGTGCTTTTCATAGGGCACGAAAAACCTTTTTGTGCGTTTAGGTTTTATATACTTCTAAAAATGATAATTTATTCAATTTATCAACTCTTCGTTTTAGGAGAAAACAAAATACATATTCTTCATTGAAAGACATTCCTCCTCCACCGTGGCTTTCCCCAAGACCATAACTCCCAACAGAATTGAAAGGTTTTTATATATTCTTCATTGAGCCTCATTTATTCTCCTCTTTGATTTTTTACTAATGCCTACCTTCTCCCTATCTTCTCAATCCTTCCCACGATCCTTCCCAACCACAGCATCCCCACTGTGAAAAGCACTAGGAGCAGCTGAATAATACGACCAAGAATAAGAAAATTTAGAGAGATCAATTAGAATTAGACAGATTTTGAGAATCCCATGAACAATTGTAAATTGAAAGAGGTGAAATATCTAAAATTTGAATCACTCTCTCTCTCTCTTGGGTACTGCTATAAATTCTTATGGATTGTCGAATACGTTCTTTGTGAAATGAACGAATGAAAAGTTTGTGTTTTGTAGGACAACCCTAACAAGTTTGGAGTTGTCCACTGTTCCAATTGTAAGACAAAGTGATTTTGCTTTGACTGTATTGAAAGATGTTGACTATAATTTGAGTGAGCAAATTGGGTATTTGCATAATTTTCATTTATACCCAATTTTAAAATATAATTATGTATGTATTTGTGCGAGTTTGGTGGAAAATTTTAATTTTAGTAAGCTTATTTTGTTTGCATTACTTGAGAGAGAGAGAGAATGAGGAAGTGGCGGTGGTCGAGGAAGAGAGAGAGTTGTGGAGGGATGTAAGAGGTGGTGGCGAGAGTGGCGCATTGGTTTTTGGCAATCCTAATATTTTCTTTTTAAATTAAATACATCGGGTGGTCGAGGAAGAGAGAGAGTGGTGGAGGGATGTAAGAGGTGGTGGGGAGAGTGGCGCATTGGTTTTTGGCAACCCTAATATTTTCTTTTTAAAGTAAATATATTGGGCACAAATGAATTGTTTGTATGCATGTACAAAAGTAAAATAAAAAGCATCAGTCGATGTTGTCAGATATATGCCATATTCATGCCCAGAAGTTTTGAGTTTAAAACATGAAAAAGTAAAATTGTGCCCTATAAATAATGGAAACTCCTATATAGGAAACTGACTATTTTAAAGTGACTGTATTATGGCCATCAATATAGAGCACAAATAATTGTGCATTTTGCATTAAAGAGCACGAATAATAATCGTGCTCAAAACCAGATATTCTAGTAGTGTAATTTATCAACAAATTTCATTTTCATACATATATACGTCCTCCAATTTTATATCTAAATCTTGCCTCAATCTGTTAACCAAAAGTGCACCTTATAGTCTTCTTATACCCAAAAGAAAGTGAGTAATTGTTGGGTTTTAAAATGAATCACCTCATAACAAGAACAACACCAAGTCTCCTTCCAAAGTGCCAACTTCGTGCGGGGTTTGAATTCATAAACTTTCCATCTTATCCTATAATGCACGAAGGCATCCCTAGGGCTTCCTAACATACCATATAGCTCCCCAAAGACTTACCCTATTCTAGGATAAAGCTTGACCACTTGAGCTGAACTTGTTGATACATCACAATCAAGTCGCGATGGAAAGGGATCTTCTTGTGATCTTTCCCCATCCCAAAAGATAAAATTCATTATCTTCAACACCAACCCTAGGGCAGATCAACATAATCTCAATTATTTTGTACAATAAATCATCCTTACGAGTTCTCAGCTTGACAGCCTGATGCAATGCAATCATACGCACGAGAGAAACCTGGATATATATGAACGAACAACATCTCCCATTCATAAATTCCAAACCCCAGCTTTTGGTGTTTGGCTGTTTGTTGTTTGGTTGTTTTCTGTTTGGCTTCAAACCCATACTTCACCATCAGAAAAATTCATTGCAAGAAAGTCTGAAAACTCAAACCAAACAGGGTACCCCGCGTGCTATGCCTATTTCCATGAACAAAACCCCAAATGGTCCCACGTACCCCCAGGCACCCTATTTCCAAATATGTCGCAGTACTCATTGCCTAGCCAAACATACACACATCGAACCCCCAATTTCAACCTTAATGTACCAAAACTGCTGACCACATCCACCTTCATCATCACCGTTCATCATGGCCCTCCCCCAATGCCTGCCCTCCACCTGGCAGGAGATCAACTTCCGGCATGATTGCATTTGATACACTCAATATTTTTTGTTACATGTTTTTGTTTTTTCAAGCCTCTGAGTCTCTGAGGTTTCTGCTGCTGCACCTCTCTAAGAAAACGAAACGCAGATCCAAATTTAGCCCCCATTGTGATGACAGCAATTCTGCAAAGCAGCTAGCTAGCATACCCCATTTAATTTCTCTATCTTTTTTCTTTCTTTTATTTTCATGCAGAAAAAATAAATGAAAATGAAAAAGGGTGTTTGGCAGCCGTCCAAATACTGAGGAAAAATTAAATGCTGGGTTGCATAATGTGTTTGGCTAGGGTTTTAGATGGTCCCTGACCTAAGCTATAAGCTAAAAAGAACACAAATGTTACAGAGAGTACTAAATGTGTCACTTCCTCTAGAGCACCAACCAGTGTCCTTAAGTTCCCCTTAACCCTAGAGATAGAGGGTATGTTCCACTCGTGAAAGGTAGCTGTCTATGTCCACCAAAATTCAACCAACCATTAATGAATTGTTGGATAATGCAAGGTTTGTGACAGCTGAACCATATCCTGCAGAACCGATTGCTACACATCACAATAACATATAACACATAGAAATTGGTTAATGTTAAAGGCTTATGTTCTTGATGTATGATTGTGTTAACTCATGATCTTGTCGGTAAGGTGTTGAATACCAGACTCTTCATACTTTAAGCAAAGATTTACAATCTAAACAAAAATGCATCATTTAGATAGTGATTTTTTTTTGATCCATTTCATATTTAGGGAGTTCGGTTTATTCTTTATGCGCCATACAAACCAATAACCGCGCAACACAACGTGTCAATGTAACGATGGGGAGTCACTCACGTGTGCATGTACGGGACTATAGCCCGTAATCCTTTATTCCAAACACATTTACTTTGTCATCTACCAATTTGGATAATGGAACGGAAAGCACTCAAATCTGTACATCTGCTGTATATTAAAATGGGGCAAACCCAATATGCAGAACCCAAATCCCAATTCACCGAGGTCCACATTGATCATAAACATCAAACAGTATATAAATATATGTCTAAAGTCGCTTTAAAGCATCAGAAAAAGCATATTGCAAAACACCATTTAAAGCAACCCGCATTATTAATATCAGAAAAAGCCACTGATATGTACATAATTAACATCTGATATGATGATGAAGATGATGCAGCTGCAGCTGCAACTGCACCTGTATCATCAGATCAACAGACTTCTCCAGCCGGTCACAACACTACCCCAATCAATTACCATAAAAACAAATATACCATACCACCACCACCCTGCATTTCCCACAGTAAATAAGCACTTACTAATTTTACCTTCCAATTAAGTTAAAAAGACATCATCACGGTACACCCACAGAGTCATAGAGTCGTCAGCATAATCATACACAGTAAATAAAACAAATAGAAACTACTTGAAAACGTGCACTGAAATACCCAAACTGCCCCCTATTACTAATTGCTTTCACCGGTCATTTTCCACGAAAGGTCTAAACGACCCTCAAAATTCAAAGGCATTCCGTCTTGTAGTACGTCCACATGCAATCCAGCTCGGTGGGGCCCACGGTCCTGGGCTCTTCCTGGTGAGGAGGTGGAGGCGGCCAGTTGCCGGCAGAGCTTAAGCCACCCAGGTCGATCGTTGAGCCGCCGCCACCGCCTGAACTGCCGACGTGGACAGGCTGATGACCCGACATTGGGGAGAAGAAGAAGGGCAGCTGGAGATTCTCCTGCAGAGACCTGAGGCTCGGGAAAGCCGAGACGCCACCGAAGCCTGGCTGCGGCGGAGGCTGGGCGTGAGTTAAGTCGAAGCACGAGGAAGAGAGGTTGAAGCCACTGTTGGGGTTGGTGGAGAAACAGGACACGTGCTCCTTCGGGATTGGACTGTCGTAAGAGCAGCTGTCACGGTCGGTGAGGCCGGCGGTGTTCATATTTTGATATGGGGAAGAATCGAGGAGCGGCGGGAGGGAGACGGAGGAAGGCGAGCTGGGTTCTGGGTAGAGACTGATACTGCTGGTGGAGCCGTTGCTCATTCGGGTCTTCTTGGATCCGGGTCCGTTTGTCGTCGACCCGCTGCTCTTCTGAAAAACCCGGGAAATAACCCACTCGTCCTGCACGTGTTCGAATCAATGCCAAACAGAGAACATTGTGAAACAAATCAGCTTTTTAACGCAAATTATTAATAATGCCAGTAGCAGATTAGCAGAAGATTTTATGTAGGGTTTGATAAATAGACAAATAATGCATGCATTAATTCGAAATGTAGGTCTCAGAAGAAGCATTATCATAACGAAAATGCAATGTGTTTCGAAGTATGAAGGAGAGGACGCATTTCTGTTATGCATGTGTTTGATTGATGCTATGAAGGTACAGAGCCTATACCATAGAAGAGATTTAATCCAACGGCCATTAGTAGATATTTCGTTATGAGATATAGTGTGCCGACAACCTTCATCAACTACTTTACCTAACCCTAACTACAAATGATATTAATTAAAGATCTAAACCTTACATGTGGAAATGCACGTTGAGAGTAGCATGAGATCACTAAAGTTCAAAACTTTTTTAAAGAAAAACAGCAGATTAATCTATGTGCATGAGAGAGAGAGAGAGAGAGAGAGAGAGAGAGAGAGAGGACCTTGGAGCTCCTGGAGAGATAGTGGTAGGCGAATTTGCCTTCAAGGCGGTACTCATGCATGACCCAGTTGCTTTTCTCACCCTTTGGAGCTCTGCCACGGTAGAAAACCAAGGTCTTCTTCATCCCAACAAGAGCACAAGTCTTGGAGCTGTAAATCTCTCTGTCTTTCCCAGTAGCTTTCCAGTACCCAGCTTCGGTAGCTCTGTTGGTTCTGAGCCCAGTTGGGTATTTCCGGTCGCGGAGGCTGAAAAAGTACCACTCTTTCTCCCCCATCTTTGCCTTGTCTGCAAAAATTAATCAAAACCCAACATTCAGAAACCAATTAAGTAATTAATTCAATTGAAAAGAAATATTGTAATGAACATGAGAATTATTTACCAGGGAGCTCCCATGGCTCACACTTGTTGAGGTCGACTTCAGCAATGGCTCGGCCAGTGAAGCTGCTGTCAAGGACCTTCTTGAGGAGATAGTAGGTGATGAGTTCCTCATCAGTTGGGTGGAAGCGAAAGCCTGGTGGCAAATGGGTGTCACTGCCGTGATCAAAATGACCAGTGAAACTCATGATGTCCATCGAAACAAAACAATCAAGAAGCTAGATTGAAGAGAATTTAGGGTCTAACTGTTAAAGAGAGTGGTTGTTGAGGAATGTTGATGTAGGTTTAAGAAAGGGTGAAAGTGGGAGGGGGAAGAGTTTGTTTGTTTTGTAGATGCAAAGGTTGGGTTTGGGTTGAGAAATTGAGAGGGGGGAGGAGAAAGAGTGTGAGATGGGTTTTTCATAGGGAGTTGATGAATCTGAATGGCAGAGGGAAAAGGCGATATAATAAGGTAAGGTATGATATGGCTGGAAAAATCTCTGTGTTTGCTCTGCTCTGTCCTCTTCTGTTCTCTCTCTGATCACTCTCTGCCATGGCTCTTATCATATCCATTATATCTCTCTCTTTCTTAATCTCTCTCTCACTCTATGGGGAGAGAGAAAGAGAGATATTGTGAGTGAGAGAGAGAGAGAGAAAGTGATGTATGTGTCTGAGGGAGTGGGCTCTGCTGCTGCTGCTGCTGCTAGGGTACTCTGTTTTGAGTATGCGTGCGTGCGTGAGAAAGTGTGCAGGTATTCCTCTGTCAGTGAAGAAAATGAAGCGGAGGGAACAGAAAGTAGTTTTATGAGAGGGCCCTTTTGAGTTTTGAGAGAGAGAAACAAACAAGCGCAAAATTTTCATTTTTTTTCAATCTTTTATTTTTAAATTTATAAATAAATTTATTATAAAAAAAAAAAAGGAGAGGTAGAGATTTTCACCATGTATCGATAAAGCTGTTGCATATCTTCCCTGTCAGCACAGTACATATAATAAATAACCCCATAGAGGTCATGGTAATTAAATACACACACACCTTCTATCTCTGTTAATTATTATATTATTTATCTACTCTTTTCTCTGCCAAATTTGAAGATCATAATCTCTAAGCATACGAAAAAAAAACTATAGCATGCAAGGCTTCTGGCATTTCTGCAAACCATTTATTTGTATTCGCATTCACTTTTTTCTTCCTTTAATCTTTCGAAGTTTAGGTAAAGAACTGGAGCTTTGGAAGTAAGAGAGAGAGAGAGATTGGATTTTGGTACACACTGACTTTTAAAACTGTTTGAGAGTCACCTTTACTGGTTGACACACATCACAATTTCGTGCTAATTGAAGTACAACCACCGTTTGGCCCATAAGACAAAAATATTACACTCGGGAAGGGAAGTAGCTAAAAACCAAGGCTCGTATATATAGTAGATTTTTACCCTCCAAATCCTGCAGATTTGTCCTCCAAATCCAAACTTAGTAATTTCAACCCAAAAAAAGCTTACCACTTTATTATTACCCTTTTAATTAATTTGATCATCGCTTCACCAATCGTACTCAATTTCTGATACCAAGCTGAAGAAAATGGCAGAATAAGCAGGATTTATAATAAAAGATAGGTTAAGATCGAGTGAGGTTACCACAGTGGTTGTGTCCCTCCTCCTTTCTCCCTACTTGGCACCCAGGATTGAAACCCTAGAGTTTTTTTTCCTCCAAATGTAACCCAATAAAAAAAATATTGGTTATCTCAAAAGAGTTGCAATGTAATCACACAAATCTCTTGAGTTTCTGAGAGCCCTGACCTTATCTTTTATGCCATATTTACGATGAATGCTTTACAGTGTAGGAAAAACAAATCTTACTGGAAGTGGAAACTGGACATTTTTTTCCTATCAGAAAAGAGGGAAGGGGAAGAAAGGTAAAAACTGAAAGTAAAAAATAAAAAAAAAAGTGAAAAGGAGCAGGAATGGTTGGTGAAGTTGATTTATTGATTTTACACCTATAAAAAAAACAAAAAACAAATGGAGTGGTTCAAAATTCAACAGACGAAATGATTAAATTAAGCATGCAATGGATCGACTCAGCAATCCCATCCATCCATCCATTCAATCCATCACAATCAGAGATTTCAAAAGAGAGAAGGTGGTGGGGGGAGGTGGGAGAGAAGAGATTGATGCAATGGGATTTTGACACATCATGCTCGGATTTTGAGAAACAACCCCACCCTATACAGGCTTTACATCAAATCATCTCTTCAATCTGCATGCTTGGGTCTCTCAATTCACACGCACACATTTTTTTATTTATTTTTGACATTGGAGAACGGACAATATTTCAATTTGCAGCTGCTTAGATTTGCTTACATTTTGCATTTTTTTCTAGTTGTCAAGGCGCTTCATAACAGTAGGGTTAACAGAAAAAGGTGAAAAAAATCCCCCACGATCTTCTCCTTATTTTGGCATCCTCTGTGACTTTTTTGCTTTATGGCTTGGGATTCACGGCTTCTCTTCTGTTGCTCTTCCTTTCTTCTTCCCCATTCGAAATGTCAAATGGACGGCCAAGCAGCAGATTGGCTCAGACGTTTTCTTCGGCCATTGTGACTATTACATCATGTTTGGGATTTGGGAACAGGTGGAAATTTTTATGGAAATTGACAAATTAGTGTATAATTTAATGCCACACGTTTCATGTATTGTGAATACCAAATGTGTCACCCTCACATTTATTTACTTTGTATGAACTATTGCACTTTCTGATAAGGGGCCGTAAACAAACATGTCATGTCCTGAATGTTTGCTCTAATTCTTCGATCGCATTTGTCCTCCTTTGGCTTTTGGGAATGTCTTACCAAGTTCTTGCTTGGTGGTTCTTTTAGGTATTAAATATGACGAAGGTAAATTAGGTTCTATGATTTAGGAATATATTGTGGATGGATATAAGTCTATTATAGGGTATAGGTAATTCGATAAGGTAGTTGTATTTTATTAGATATAGTACATGGATATAGGGTTTGATAAGGTACTATGACTTGTAGGTACAATATATACTCATTAGGTATATGTATGGGTACTATGCGATAGATATATTACTTATGAATTATTCTACGTTAAGCAAATCCATGTCGTAAAATAATTTCGAACATGCTTTATACAACCTCTGTGGAGGAAGTCTACCCACCAACGCCAAACCACCATTTTGGAAAAACTACGATGTCGGTTCTTCAAACAATGATTCGGTATGACTCGATTTCGATTAGACAAAGTTAGGGAGACATAGGAGTAGGCTTGCCAATACAATGGTGAGGTGTTTCTCTTAAATGCATTATGCATTAGTTGTGAATAGAGCTAGCCGATTCAATTCAATTTATAGTTTAAAATGCCCAATCCTACATAGTACGTCTATGTTCAACTATGTACTATGCTTTAGGTATATTCTACATCGTGTGCAAGATGATATAGAATTGTCTCAATTTTAATAATTAAATTTCGTCTTTACATGTTCAAATTCACATGAACCTTCTCCAAAAAAAATATCTATGAGAAAACCCTAAGAAAAGACACCCTAGTCGTGGCCCCTTTTGGGGGTCGGCCGCCTTCCTCTATTCTCTTCCCCTATCCTCTACTTCCCTCTCTTCTCCATTTTATTTAACTTTGTTATTTTATTTTGTGGTGTTGAAGTAGCTGTCGTGAAACAATGTCGTCTTTGTGATAGTTGCTGGTGTTTGTCTTACATACACAAAGATTTAGCTCAAATTGTCAACCTTCAACATGGGTTTGGACTTGCAATGATGGGAAGATGTCTGGTTGCGTTGGGTTAGAGTTTATCCAGAATGGTGTTATGGCTCTCTTCCGGTCACTTGGGAGTAAGGATGAGCACAATTTCGGGTCAACCAAACTGAACAACCCAACTTAATCATAATAGGTTGGGTTGCCTTAAATATTAGCGGGTCTTGGGTTTAAAAAATTATAAACTGTTATGTATGGGTTGGAACCAAAACTTAAAAGTATGCTTAATTTTGAGTTAACCTGACCAAGCTACCTTACTCGATCACAAAAAGTTTTGGGTTAGATTGGGTTAGCCTAATAATGAGCAGGTCTTGGGTCCAAGAAATCATAAATCGCTATATATCGGGTTGGATTACAGGTTGGGACTAAAACCGACCCAACCCAACCTATGCCCACCCTACCCAGGAGGATATGGAGAACTCTTTAGGAGTTTGTTGTTTGTTAGTTTTATTCCTTTTTAGTTTTCAACTTTCAATACGGACCTGCCATTTTCAACTTTTGCTCGTTGGATTTGTATTGTAGGTTTGAGTATGCGTGCTTTTGGTTGCTAAATCATAGATTTTAATCAGTTTGTGGGTTGTGCGTGATTCTCTCCATATCAATTCAACTTGTTGTTGCGTTTGGTTATCAAAGAAGAGTTACCCATATTTGACACCATATGACTTTGTATTTGGTTTTGTTATGCTCTTTATAATAATAAAAGTTTGATCTTCACATTTCTTTTTGAATAGGTCACTGATCTTTGTTTTCTAGATTCATTTTCAAGTTCATTAGGAGGTCGATTCACATAAAAGAAATCTTGAGGCAACAAAATTTAATTCTCCACCATTTAATGACAAAAAAACACATAAATTAATCCAATATCAGCTCTTAAAAAACCTAGGTGCTCAAATTACTGAAACACCCCTGCCACGTCATCAAACTGAATGGACTTTTGATGTAGTTAACAGTAAGGCAATGTAGAACATCAAACCTTGGTCTTGGGGGCAAAGTGGGTCACTTTAAAGTGAGAATTTGACCAATATTTCAGGGTGCATTGTAGTAATTAAGCCTTAAGTATATGTGTAGGTACTATGCAATAGGTATATTACTTATGAATTATTCTACTTTAAGCAAATCTTGTCGTAAAATAATTTCAAACATGCTTTATACTAACCTCGGTGGAGGAAGTCTCGCCACCTACTCCAAACCACTATCTTGGAAAAACAATGATGTCGGTTCTTTGAACAATGATTCGGTGTGACTCGATTTTGGTTAGACAGAGTTAGGGTGACATAGGAGAATAGTGGAAGCATTGGAAAGTGAAAATATGATTTAGGGTTTCTCACCCTGATTATTTCTTTCTCTCTCTTTCTCATTAATTTTATTGGAGCAGGAAACTCTTATATACATATTGATTGTACAATTACAGCACAAGAAGGCTAGCCAATACAGTGGTGAAG